TGAACAAATCAAAGATCTCTGTTCTCAAGGAGTTTAAATTCTAAGCAGAGAAAAACAGATAAACGGGCATATTTTTAAAAGTTATACAATAAATCAAAATATCCAACTGATCTGGAAATAAGAACATATGTAGCAATGAAGATGACCTGGGCAGGCGTCCCAGACAGCATCAGAAGGGGAGGGGTACTGAGCCAGATGTGTGGGAAGAAGGGGCTGAGAGGCTGCGGGGCCTAAACATTCAGCAATGGAAAGTGCATGGAAGGGCCATTGTGAGAGAAGAGTTTAAGCCCAGCTCCACCACTCATTAGCTGAGAGGTCTTGACTTAGGCAATTTTTTGGCACTCAGTTCCCCCATCTATAAAATGTAGCTCAAAATATGTCCACCTGTCGGATCACACTGAGGATTAAATGACATAAGCTATTTAAAATACTTAACACTTTGTATATTATAAAACACTAAAAATATATTTGCTTCTGGCAGCGAAATATTCACCTTGAGAAAAGGGAAATGATTGGCTTGGGGAACAGCCTGTTTGATGAAGGAGGTGGGCCACAAGAGTGGCAAGCCTAGGCCAACGCAGATGCTGAATGAGCCACAGCGATGCACATGTAGGAATGAATGTGGTCAGCAGGGGCAGGCAGGAAGCTTCAAGAAGGAGGAATTGAAGCGGTGGTGGGATATCAAACAGCAGAGAGGACAGGGATGGGATGAATTGGAAAAATGCCTTAAGCAAAACACTGAGTCTAGAGGAAGTATAAGATATGGGGAAGGAAGCCCAGATACCAAAGTGAAGGTGGGGTTGAGCACAGCAAGGTCAGCAGCCATCACAGACGGTCATCAGTGTATTGACACCATCAGCACAGCTCCTTAGCTCAGCCAGAGGGAGTGGAAACACCAGAGAGGGGAGGCTTTGCAGTCAATCGGAAATACTATTTAGGCTTGAGTCGGAATTGGGTCCTTAGTCACTGAAAGGTGTCCTTCCTTGACCTGGCGGAATGTGAACTCTGGATTGAGCAATAATTAATTAATCAGTCATTTCCACAGCATTTCATCAGCATTCTTCAGAGGTTTGTTTGGTGATAAATCCAGGAGGTGTCTCCAGTGTCCAGTGGGTATAGTCTTAATGCTGTACCAGAGTGAGGTTTCTCATCCTCGGCACCACTGACCATTTGGGCAAGATAATTCTTTCTTAGGGAAGGCCTATTCTGTGATTTGAAAGATGCTTAGCAGCATCCCTGGCTTCTACCCATTAGATGACAGGAGCTGTGATGATCAAACACTTATCCAGATTGTCCAGTGCCCTCTTTTGGGGTGTGGTAGTCAGGTTGGGAGGGTACTGCAGCACTGTTTACAATAGCAAAGACCTGGAATCAACCCAAATGCCCATTGATGATAGACTGGATTGGAAAAATGTGGCACATATACACCATGGAATATTATGCAGCAATCAGAAATGATGAGTTCATGTCGTTTGTAGGGACATGGATGAATCTGTAGACCATCATCCACAGCACACTGACACAAGAACAGAAAATGAAACACCGCATATTCTCACTCATAGGCGGGTGATGAAAAATGAGAACACATGGACACAGAAAGGGGAGTACTAAACACTGGGGTCTATTGGGGGGAAAAGGGGAGGGCCAGTGGGAGGGGGAGGTGGGGAGGGATAGCCTGGGGAGAAATGCCAAATGTGGGTGAAGGGGAGAAGCAAAGCAAAGCACACTGTCATGTGCGTACCTACGCAACTGTCTTGCATGCTCTGCTCATGTACCCCAAAACCTAAAATCCAATAAAAAATTTAAAAAAAAAATTCAAAGATAAACACTAAAAAAAAAAAAAAAAAAAAATCCACCCCTAACCCCACCACACTGAGAACCGCTGAGTTAGAGGAAAGGCCTAGGCTTTGTCCTCAGGGCCCTCCCAAGCCAGCAGTGATCACCCTTTCCCCTTGCCTTCATCCCAAGAACCTCCAGTTCATTAAAAATAAAAAGTCTCTATAAGGCAGGAATACATGCAAATACGAGCGAGCAGTTACACTTTAAGGATATACAGAAGGCTTTTATTTTTCCCCAAGGGATCTGTATACTGACTATGGAAGAGTAGATTATCATGGCTATTATGGCAATTGTGAGTAGATGATCTGTACCAGTCATTGTCATCACTATTTGGCAAACTTGTCCAAAAGCTGAGAACACTCACTTTCTAACCTTCCTACTTAGTTGCCATGGAGCGCTAGTGGCAACCCGAAAAACGTATAAGCAGGAAATTCTATTGTCTCAAAAAAGTATAACACAAAGAGGAATGATTTGTATTGATGATTAGTCAATGAAGTTAATGGGTAAAAGGAGAAAGAGACAAAAATGCACAACGGCCCTTGGGAGGGCTTCAAGAGTATGCCCACGGCTTCTCTTCCACATGCCCATAGATGCTCTTCCATGTGCCCATGGCTGCTCTTCCATGTGTCCACAGCTGCTCTTCCATGTGCCCACAGCTGCTCTTCCACATGCCCACGGCTGCTCTTCCACATGCCCACAGATGCTCTTCCATGTGCCCACGGCTGCTCTTCTGGGTTCCCACTGAATACAGGAAACTAGCTGAGAATAAATAAAGAAAACTCACCTATAGGAATACATTTTGAATTAGGGCTGAAGGTATGATTAGGAGTGGGGAAAATCTTGGGGTATCAATTAAAAATGGGGAGAATCTGAAGCTTGTTCAACTCTGAGAATTTGAGCAGGCAGACTGATAAAAGGGTCTCTTAAACAAATTAGTGATTATTAGAGATAGATTGTTACTCCTGAAAAATGCGAGAGTTGTTTGTTCCTTGAATGACTCTTATCCTAGATCACTGGACACAGATGTGTTTTGAAATTTAGAACTTTTTTTAAGGAGGGTAACACAGTGAATCAAATTCATTAGTAACACTACAGGTATACTTCAAAATTGGCCATGTTCAGTCTCAATACCATGGAATTAGAACAAAGGATTGGACCACATGTTGGGCAGGCAAGGTGACGGTTGGCAGTCCAGGATCACCTGTCATCCCTAAGCCTTCAGGGATTCTTTCCATTGCAGAGGAAATTCATATTTCTACAACAGAACATAAGAATATTTACAGCAGGCTAGGTGCGGTGGCTCATGCCTGTAATCCCAGTACTTTGGGAGGCCGAGGCAGGTGGATCACGAGGTCAAGAGATAGAGAGCATCCTGGTCAACATGATGAAACCCCATCTCTACTAAAAATACAAAAAAAAATTAGCTGGGCATGGTGGCACGTGCCTGTAATCCCAGCTACTCAGAAGGCTGAGGCAGGAGAATTGCCTGAACCCAGGAGGTGGAGGTTGCGGTGAGCCGAGATCGCGCCATTGCACTTCAGCCTGGGTAACAAGAGTGAAACTCCGTCTCAAAAAAAAAAAAAAGAAAAGAATATTTACAGCAAGGTGAAATGAACTCACTGTGTTCAGGTCAGTTGTTTTATTTTTGCCACCATATGAATATTCTCAGCAATCACATAAAAATCCAGCATTTAGGGGTGCTGGAATTGGAAATTGTGACCATGAGGGTGTGGATATATAGTAATATTTGGCAATTATCAGCAATGATATTTTCTCATCCCATTTCCTACTGCTGTGAACGTCTGTATTAGTCTTTTCCGATGCTGCTAATAAACACATACCCAAGACTGGGTAATTTATAAAGGAAAGAAGTCTAATTAACTCACAGTTCAACACGGCTGGGGAGGCCTCAGGAAACTTACAATCATGGTGGAAGGGGAAGCAAACACGTCCTTCTTCACATGGCGGCAGTAAGGGGAAGTGCTGAGCAAATTCTTTTTATGCTATAATTTGGGGCAGTATGCATCTCTTTAGTCCTCTTTTCTTATACCCACTCTGGATTCACCATCAGAAAGCCCAATTCACTGAGGCGTGTAGGAGGGAAAAAACGGTCTCTAGTTTTAACAAGATCCACCTAACTTCAAAGGCATCTGTGGCTTTCAAAATTCTCAAGGTCCATTACAATCTCAGGTAGCCTCTATTTCTCTTTGTGTCTGTCTGTCTCTATCTATCTGTCCATCTATCCATCCAGCCATTTTCTGGTTATAACCACATGCCACATACTCTCTCAGGATACTTTCCCTTTGGCATGTTAATTAGTTTGTAAATCCTGCCGAAAAGGTATTTCTCTTACTATCTCTATTTAAAATATCAGAAAGCCAATGACCAAACATATTGAATACTTTGCCAGGGTCCCCAAGGCCTCTTTTCTCAACTACTATGATTCACACACATGCACACGTGGGAGCAGACAAACCCTACAATGCAGACTTGTGGATTTTTTTTTTTTTTTTTTTGAGACGGAGTTTCACTCTTGTTACCCAGGCTAGAGTGCAATGGCGCGATCCTGGCTCACCACAACCTCTGCCTCCTGGGTTCGGGCAATTCTCCTGCCTCAGCCTCCCGAGTAGCTAGGATTACAGGCACATGCCACCATGCCCAGCTCATTTTTTGTATTTTTTAGTAGAGACGGGGTTTCACCATGTTGACCAGAATGGTCTTGATCTCTTGACCTCGTGATCCACCCGCCTCGGCCTCCCAAAGTGCTGGGATTACAGGCTAGAGCCACCGCGCTCGGCCGACATGTGGATTTTTAACCAACCTATCTAGAGCCAAAAGTCTAGATGAATAGTTCGTTTCTAGGATGGAAGGAAAAAGTTGTTTGAGCAGAATTCTTAAGTGTGAATACAAGACTACGAAGAGAGCCATCTTTATAGGAAATACGCCACTGAAGACTCCAGGAACCACAATGTCCATTTCACCTACCACAAGCCCCCATTTCCACCAAGCTCTTTCCTAGCGGGGAGCAGCTTCCTGAACACCCATGAAGGAAGGTATGTGCAGAACTGCCAGTCACCACCTGTCACAGGACCAACGTGGGTGTCAGGAGGCAGGTTCTCTCGTGCCCAGGCCCTGTCTCACTGCTGGAGGCAGAGCCCAGGCCAGGATAAAAGGGCTCTGGGCCAGAGCACCCCATCCACTCACCTCCTGAGGTGCTGAAGAACCCCGTGCTGCCTGTGATCCTGGTAAGTGTCCCCTGGGAAAAGGAGCAGGGGCTTCCATAGAGGGATGCTCAGACAGGAGGGAACAGAAAGTCAGGCCAGGCAGGAGGAGAGGCTGGGCAGAGCCTCAGGGGCCTGGAATTGTGATTAACAAGAAATGGGGTGGAGGCAGAAATCAGAAAGAGGAGGTAGAGGGGTGGGTGAAGTGAGAGAGATTAAGAGCAACTGGTAGGATCTGTAGGGCTGTATGACACAGATTCGGAGGAACCAAATTGTTTTCAGTTGCTTAGTACGTTTCTCTGGTTTTAGAGAACAAATACATTGGCCACTAGATTATGCTGGAGTGGGTTGCATAGTGGGAATATAATTTTGGAGATAGGGACACACTCATTTTCATAAAAGACTTGCTGAAAACACTGCTACTTAGAGGAAGAAAGGATCGGAGATAACTGTGGATCTTGTTAGATGCCAACCAGATCTGAAGCAGAAAACGGAGTGCACACTGGAGCTCAGAAGCCATGTGACAGTGCCTGGGGACAGGCCTGGGAAGGCAGCATGTGCTAGAGAGCAGAGCCTGGGTTGGGAGCCGGGGGACCCAGGAACGAATGTGACATGCTACCGAATAACTGGGCCGGTAAAGTCACCTCTTTTGGCTTTAGTTTATTTATATATTGAGTTGGTTGAAACAAATGGACTCCAACATCCTTTGCAGTTACGGTTTCCTATATTCCAGCAAACTGAAATCTGTCAGTTCCTCTGAGAGAAACCCCTTTTGATTTTTCCTGAAAGAGGTTTTCATCTCTAAACTTGTCGCAACATTGAACATCTTCAGAATTCATGGAGATGTGGTAGAATAAATGCTGGCCTGGAGCCAGTTTATCTCCTGGCCTTCTCTCCCACACTTAGGAGGTTTAATGACCAGAAACTTTATTTACATATTTGGAGATTATAGATTGCTCGAGAATGTCTCAAATAAGATTTGAAAGGAGACCCCATGAATGAAAGCACTTGGTAAACCCTGAGAGTGATAAAACCATTGCAGGTGATTTTCCTGTTTGATATAAGGCTTTGAAAATGAAAGGTCTAGAAATAATGTGTAAAGGACAAGAACAGGCAGGGGTGGCCTCTGCCTCCGTCTAACTTACCTTCTGACTCTCCTTCAGCTCCTGAACACTCGCTGCCAAGATGTCCTGCCAGCAGAGCCAGCAGCAGTGCCAGCCCCCTCCCAAGTGCACCCCCAAGTGTCCTCCTAAATGCCCCCCAAAGTGTCCCCCTAAGTGCCCTCCAGTGTCTTCCTGCTGCAGTGTCAGCTCTGGGGGCTGCTGTGGCTCCAGCTCTGGGGGCTGCTGCAGTTCTGGGGGAGGTGGCTGCTGCCTGAGCCACCACAGGCGCCGCAGGTCCCACCGCCACAGGCCCCAGAGCTCTGACTGCTGCAGCCAGCCCTCAGGGGGCTCCAGCTGCTGCGGAGGGGGCTCCAGCTGCTGCGGAGGGGGCAGTGGCCAGCACTCTGGAGGCTGCTGTTGAACTGGATCCTGAGCCTAAAAGAGCACATTTCAAGCCATGAAAGGGGCAACTTCATCTTCCTTGGGCTCGGCTGTGTTGCTGGGACATTTTAGAAAGACTTCAAACTCTGTCCTGGACGATTCCTCTGACCTAGAATCCAGAAATCTGTCCTCTCACAAAAATCCATCTTCTGACCTCTGATTCCATCTGTGCACCTGGCCTGGGAACACCCAATAGAAGGCCTTGCCTCATTCCCCTGATTTCCTTGGCAATCCCCATTGTGCATGAAACAATAAAACAAATGATCCGCTCATCAACTTGTTCTAGACTGCATTACTGTTGCTTGTAAATGTGCCGCGAGGGATAGCATGTCTGATCTCAGCTCCATCCCCTGGTTATTGGGCATTGAAGCAGCATGGCTTGCTTAACTCCTTCAGCCCCTGGTCCTCACTAGAGCTGACCCCTGCCCCTCGGTGCCTCGGCCAGGGTCAAGTCAGGAAAAAGAACTATGAGATTTAGATTTACATTAACAGACCGAAGTTTGTATAAAGAATTGCTTACTTGGCATCGGAGAACTGACAAGACCAATACAGGACAAAGAGGGTTCGTGGAGGTGGTCACTGTCATCGCCACCATGCCGCCAACAGTAGGGGAAGGGAATGTCTTGAAATTATCAAAATGTAGAAGCTTGGAGCAGTGGCCCATGAATTGAAACTCAGGCCTTTAGGAAAGGGGCCCTTCTCATGGGTGCAGGGGTCTCTGAGCTCAGAGGAGGGGCCCTGTGAGTCTGGACTCATGCTTCTGAGGAAGGACACAAGCTAGTGCTGGTCCTAGGGTCTCCATGAGAACCCAACAAGGTTGGTTTTGTGAGTGGAAAAACTTCACACTGGAACCACTGTTGCTAAAATTGCTCCTGCTGGGGTGAGAAGTCATGTTGGGGTGACTTGGAGAACTCTACAGGAATCCAAGGAAGCTTGGTCCTTGTCCCTCTGCCAGCTTCCAAGTCTTCTCTAGCTTCCCCTACTGGCAGAGACTTCAGGAAACAGCCAGCAAAGAGAAACGGGATTGACAATCCCAAACCTCCATCGTAAGGCCAGAGGAGGAAGGGAGGACTGAAGTGGAGCGATGATGTTTTAATAACCAGCATGCTGAAGCAGGCAGGGAGACAGACATATCCTACTCAGCCATCACCCTCCTTCTTCCTGATATCCTCCCTCTCTCCCCAGCTAGTCTCCCAAAGAATTTTACCTTGTGCCTCTTTAAGTAAACATAACGAAATGACTCCATGCAGCTTATACTTTAAAAATGCAGACTGCTGTAGTATAAATAAACCTTGAAGCTCACTTCTGCAAATAGACCTCAAAGTGTTTCTGTTCTTGCCACTGCCCATACAAATGGAGTCATAAATTATAGACACACACACGTGCAAACACACACACACACACATCAATGTTCATCCCAGGTGTCAAGAGCTTGGAAACGATGCCCAAGTCTGTGAAAGATGAGGCCTCTGTGCTTCTGGAAGTCCTTCTGATTATCTGGCCTGAGGTTTCGATTCTGGATGAACATCAATCAGCCTTCTCCATTTCCAGGAAGCTTCCCTAATATTTCCTCTACTGCCACACACACTATGTTAACACTACAATCCTCCAATATTAGTGTTCTCAGGTTATCCTCTCTCCTATCATGCCCTCTTGTGTCTTCTCCCACTGGGACTACCTAGATGTACTTCCTCTTTCCCCATCTGGCATGGAGTTTCTGAAGAAAAGATAGTTTGAATCCCTATAAATTGCAACCCCTGTACTACCAGGCCTCTCTGCATTAGGATCAAGGATACTGCATAGGCCCTGGGTAAGGACTTCCTAAGTTCGGAGATATGGGTATTACACCATCCTGGGGGACTCCTGAGGAGAAGGGCTGGGCCTCTCTCATCCTGTGGCTCCCTAAGGCAGGGGAACCTGTGCTTTCACTGAAGAAGGCCTCTCCAGGGAGGAGAGGACATCTCACAGTACTCCTGCTAAAAGTGACAACATTTCTATCTCTTTCCTTCTTTTTCCAAGTTCCAAGGACCAGAGGTATTTAGACAGGGACTGACAGATGCTTCAAGGTCAGGAGCTCCTTACATACAAGGACATCAGTTCTCTGCAAGGTCCCTGTAAGTCTTACCTTCTTCCTTGGCTCTCTGATGAGTCCAGAAACCAGCATCAAGCAGTGGGGCTGGACTTCATTTCTTCTCTGCTTTCCGCATGTGGGAACTGCTAAAAGGTAAACTGAGGTGCAATACAATTTTAAAGAGTTTATTTGAGCAAACAGCAATGCATGAATTTGGCAGTTCCAGCCCAAAAGTGGTTTGAGGGGTCTGTCAAAAGAACAGAAGGGGAAAGCTTGTATAAAGAAAACACAAAAGTAAACTGAAGAAAATATTTGATTGGTTGCCATGACACCATTTTCTTACTCAGTATATCCTGCTGAAAACCCCTAGTTGCATAATTATGAGGTAGCTGATGGCTTCTGATTGCTTAGTTTTAAGCATCATTTTTTTAAAAATATAGGCATTTACAAGAAATAGCCCAAGTTATGTTTCCCTTATGTTTGGAGATCCAGCGAAGTTGAGGTCATTTATGGGGCTTAACTGGCTTTGCCTGCCCAGGGACTCTTCAGGCCTGGTGTCCATTTGAATTTACTTTAACAAGACCCTCCTGTTCACGCACACACAACGCCCCACAATCGCCACTAAGTTTGAGACCAGGATCTTGACACAGTGCAAGCAGCATGAGAGGATCCAGAATGCCCTCTCGGAGCCCCTCCTCCCACGTTAGACACTCAGACCAGTGGCAGAGGAGTGCCACCATCCTGGGCTGCTGGGGGAAAGGCAATCTCCTCAGCCAACTTGGTGACTCCCATTTGCTCATTCCTTGAAGCACTCTTTTAGTCTATGGTTCTGTGTTCTGATGAATGGGTAATATTACAAGAACCATCCGTGACTGAGCAATATCAGTATGCCAGGCACTGTGTGCTCACAGTAACCTATTCATCCTTGAAATTGCTATGAAGCAGGTCCATTTTTAGCCTCAGTTTAAAAATCAGAAATTCAGGCCCAGAGAGTTAAATGCTGTGGTGGCTGGCACGTCTGCCAGGGGGCTCTTGGCCAGCAAGAGGGTCCCAACCTGGAAAGGGGAGTGTGCAAAAGAGAAGAAGAAAGAACAGACAGGGTCTGGAGGGTTGAGAAGTCAGATGCTTCACCAACAGCTTTATTGAACTCAGGGCTTGGTTATATACATTACAAGCAGAAGTGTTTACATCACGGGATCAGTGTTTCGTGGGAACAGAAAGTTTGACAATACAATCACAAGTCACCATATTTTGGATAAATATGCTGGGAACAGGGAAATACATAATCAGGTTAAAGCGGGGGGTGCAATTATCAGTCACAAGAGTTCAGGTGCAATATCTAAGTTTAAAAGTTTAAAAGAAACTATTTATCTAGGGCAGGAGTTTCACAAGAAAATCACAGGCTACATTATAAATCATTAAGTCACAAGCAGTATTGTAAATACCATATCAAGGGTCCAGGTGTAGGAAAGACATAAACAAAGCAATTTTTACTATCAGCTTGCTTTGAAGATTTAAGTCATAACTTTAAGAAGAAACTATAATGAATAGAGAACCGAAAGTGGACACCGTGAGAACCAAAAGTGGACACCGTGCCTCCCATCACCTTAGCACAATAGAGTAATAACTCATGTTATTTTTTGTATATCACATGAGCCTTCTAGCAGTCCTTCTTCCCCATACCTCGACTACCTCCAACAGGGGGCCCGTGTCTGGGATCAAGCTCAACCATATGGTGTGACCCACTACTTGAGGGTCTTACATGGGAGTGTTCCCACAAAATGCACATATCTTTTCAAGATACTTGCCACAGTTACCTATGTCAGAACCATCCCTCTCATCTGCTCACTGAACGCAGGACAGATGGCCAGAAAGTGGACTCCTGTGGTGATATCTGTTGGGTCGTGCTGTGGACCTTCCCCAGAAAGACAGACACTGTTCAGGATCCCGACAAGATGGCCCCATCACAGTCCTTTGAGAATTCCCTTTCCATCCCTAGCTTCCCCAAACTTAGGAAAACTCCTTATCTCCACAGGTCTCCAAGTGATGATGAAAGGAGCTGTTTTGAAGGCCTTATGATTTTTTGTACAATAAACACCCAAGTGCAAGGAAAATACCTTCGTCTTGGACACATATGATGAGAGAAAATGGAGTGCCGTAAATAGCCAGGAGACCCTTTTGTGTGAAGAGAATTTAAAATATGTTAGCATATAGATCCGTGGAGAAAGGATAGCTTATTTAGTAAGTTGAATGGAGGGAAAATTAAAAAACAAGTTATATTCTTTAACAAAATGACTTTAGGAGGATTAAAGAGCTAATTTTTAAAACTGAATCACAAAGTAGAACGCACAATGGAAAAATATGTTTTATGCACAAAAGAAACAGAACAAATGTTAGTGAGAAATTTTGATAGATCTAATACCATCAAAATAAACTTTTCATTACCTCCAAAATCATATGAAAGAAACAAACTAGAAAGTCATAACACTATATATAAAATATTCAATAAATGTTTACTAAAAGCCTAAAATATTCTAGGAGTTTATTTAGACAGTTGAGATGTACTTGAGAGCAAATAGAAAAAAGATGTCTAAACACATAGATTTGATTTTATTGAAAGGTTTTCAGTGAGTACTGTTGCAGAATTTTTGTATAATAAAATATGACAAATGTCTTGTCAGGCACTCCATCTTTGCCAATTTGATATAAATAAATGAATTGGATAAACACCCTATATCAGAAAAAGACAAAATGTTTCATTTTCTTTTTAATAATTAAAAGGGCATGTATATAATTTTATATATATACATTTTAAAGTCAGCATTGTAAATTAAATTTGAAATTAAATTATTGAATTAAAATTAAAATTAAAAGTTAAAATTTAAAAGTTCTTATTTAATTTAAAGTTTTAGTTAAAATATTTATAACTGTTATTTAAAGAGTATAAATATTTGTTTAATAAATAATTCCTTGCACATTGCTCAACTAAGAGTTAAACAATTTTATACATTTGATGCTTATCTTCTCCCTCCCGTTCAGAGAAATATCCTGAGTTTGGGGTTAAGTATTCCTATGCATTTCTTTAAACTTCTTTTACATTATAAGTTTCCTTAAAATACGCAGTTTAGTTTACCTGTTTTCAACACAAATATTACACATTTGATGCAATCTTATGCAAATGTGCTTTCCTATCCCAGAATAATTT